CTCAGGGCAGACGATAAGGTGACGTCACGACTAGACAAACTTTCCACTGGCTGGTAGATTGGTGTCCCCATGCACCGAATACACCGGATGTGTCACAACTGGTTACAGACTGAGGAAAAAAACCTCAGTTAACCTCAGTTAAGCTCAGAGTTGACGAGTCGGCGCTAACACAACACTCAGACAACTCAGACATGCACTCTACTCCCCCTACATGTCGCCGGTGGTGTTTTCTCACACACACCCTCACAAAACACTCAGAGATTCCCCCCCCCCACACCTAACCCGCACACATCTTCCCACACACTACACAATAACCACAACATACCCACAGCTAGTAGACATGAAGTTCGCATTGCCTTTCCTTAATCTTTGTCTCACATTGTTGCTGAGATAAACCTCGGCCAATCCCGCGTAATCTCATGTAAACATCCAATTGTTTTGATTGGGGAGATGTCGCCACTAATTATCACCTTATGACACATGCTAGTCAGGCTATAAATAGGACCGATGGCTGATAAAAAGCAGACGAACCAAAAGCGAAAGATTAGAAAATTTTCTCTTAGTGTGTGCTGTTGTTAAATTACTGAACCTGTTCTTTTAAGGATTGTTTCATTTCATTCATCAAGGGCGACTTGAACAAATGTAAGGACTTAGAGTTTGGACTTACTGGTCTAGTTTGATTAGATTATAATAATTGTTTCAGATTTTGTTGAAAATATTCGTATGTACCTACGATTATTTATATGAAGCGTGAAAGTCACTTGACTGTTTATTGATTTTGTACAAGCTTTATTTAACATGATTCCTCGTTCTTGTACCGGATTGGTTAATTCAAACTTGACACGTAAGTCAGGACCCTAAGGAAACACAATGTGACATAATAGCCGACTTAATTAGATGTTTAATTATATAAAGTTTAAAAATATTTTCTATGAAAACAATAATTTTGCACACTAATATACACCCTTATTTGTGTTTATTTTGTGCGATTCTATTCTATTAAAATCGTTAAAGTATTCAATTTTTTAATAAAAATGTTTTAATATCAAGTTTTTATATAATTATAGTCTATGGACTAAAAAGAAGAAAGTAAATTATTTTCTTTACAACATAATAATTTATATTATTAAACAACGGAAAATTGGATCGCTATATTATGCATTAAAAACTCTTAGTAAAATTTATTAACCGACCCACGCATATTTTTAAAAATGTGCTCATCATTATGAATAGTTTGTTTCTTTAAACTTTGACAATAATGTGTATTTATGACATTGTTTTTACCATACTAACTTTTGAACTTTGTGACGTCACAACAGACAGACTTCCTGCCAGCGCCATGAATCCCCTTCTCATTATCGCACTCTTGGTGCCCATGACCTTGGCCCAACTTGGGGGGTTTGAACCCATGCACTTCCTCGACGGAAGTGACCCCAATGTCCAGTTTGCCGTCAAGGCCATTAACGATTTCTACGCTAAGCAAGGGGACAACGCCGTCAGAACATTCGTCAGTGTTTTACAGTCACAGTCACAGGTAAGTCATGTCAGTGTTTTACAGTCATAGGTAAGTCATGTCAGTGTTTTACAGTCATAGGTAAGTCATGTCAGTGTTTTACAGTCACAGGTAAGTCATGTCAGTGTTTTACAGTCACAGGTAAGTCATGTCAGTGTTTTACAGTCACAGGTAAGTCATGTCAGTGTTGTACAGTCACACTTAAAGGTAAGTCATGTCAGTGTTTTACAGTCACACTTACAACTAAGTCATGTCAGTGTTTTACAGTCACACTTACAGGTAAGTCATGTCAGTGTTTTACAGTCACAGGTAAATCATGTCAGTTTTTTACAGTCACAGGTAAGTCATGTCAGTGTTTTACAGTCACAGTTACAAGTAAGTTATGGAACATTCATTAGTTGTCAAGTCAGTTAAGCTATTACACTACTCGGCTTGGCTTACGTAAATAAAGTGATGAACTTGTCAGATTGTGTGAATGTGTACACTCATTCAACATGTTTATGATAAAGTGATGAACTGGTCAGATTGTGAGAATGTGAAGTGAAGCTTGTCATGACACTCATTAAACATGACTATAATAAAGTGATGAATTGGTCAGATTGTGAGAATGTGAAGTGAAGCTTGTCATGACACTCATTCAACATGTTTTTGTTGTTTCAGATTGTAGCTGGCACACACTACCAGTTTACATTGAAGGTCGCCACAGCTACACAGGTAACTGATTTATTTATGATTTCAATCTAAAGTTTCTAGAAGACTTGCTCATACTCTGAATACGACCTAATGCTTGATTGACTTTTGTTAATAAGCCATCAGTACTGTGACGTCAAGAGTTGTTGATCTATCGGTACCGTGACGTCAGGTGTTGTAATCTATTAGTACTATGACGTCAGATGCTGTTGATAAGCCATGAGTACTATGAAGTCAGATGTTGATAAGCCATCGGTACTATGAAGTCAGATGTTGTTGATAAGCCATCGGTACTATGACGTCAGATGTTGATCTATCAGTACTGTGACGTCAGGGTGTTGTTGATAAGCCATGACTATGACCTATCAGTGCTCACCACTAAAAACACGTGCACTGTTTCTCTCCCCAGACTGAGATCTGCCAGGTTGACGTCTGGTCCCGCCCATGGCTGTCCGGCAGTGAAGGTCTGCAGACGACCAAGGATCCAGTCTGTACCCCTCAAGGTTAGCACAGTCAGTTAGAATTCTGGTCCCCCTAAACATATTAAACTAACAGATAGAATTCTGGTCCCCCTAAACATATTAAACTAACAGACAGATAGAATTCTGGTCCCCCTAAACATATTAAACTAACAGACAGCTAGAATTCTGGTCCCCCTAAACATATTAAACTAACAGACAGGTAGAATTCTGGTCCCCCTAAACATATTAAACTAACAGACAGCTAGAATTCTGGTCCCTCTAAACATATTAAACTAACAGACAGCTAGAATTCTGGTCCCTCTAAACATATTAAACTAACAGACAGCTAGAATTCTGGTCCCCCTAAACATATTAAACTAACAGACAGCTAGAATTCTGGTCCCCCTAAACATATTAAACTAACAGACAGATAGAATTCTGGTCCCCCTAAACATATTAAACTAACAGACAGCTAGAATTCTGGTCCCCCTAAACATATTAAACTAACAGACAGCTAGAATTCTGGTCCCCCTAAACATATTAAACTAACAGATGCCGCTAGAATTCTGGTCCCCCTAAACATATTAAACTAACAGACAGCTAGAATTCTGGTCCCCCTAAACATATTAAACTAACAGACTGCTAGAATTCTGGTCCCCATAAACATATTAAACTAACCCTACAGACAGCTAGAATTCTGGTCCCCCTAAACATATTAAACTAACAGACAGATAGAATTCTGGTCCCCCTAAACATATTAAACTAACAGACTGCTAGAATTCTGGTCCCCCTAAACATATTAAACTAACAGACAGATAGAATTCTGGTCCCCCTAAACATATTAAACTAACAGACAGATAGAATTCTGGTCCCCCTAAACATATTAAACTAACAGACAGATAGAATTCTGGTCCCCCTGAACATATTAAACTAACAGACAGATAGAATTCTGGTCCCCCTAAACATATTAAACTAACAGACAGATAGAATTCTGGTCCCCCTGAACATATTAAACTAACAGACAGATAGAATTCTGGTCCCCCTAAACATATTAAACTAACAGACCGCTAGAATTCTGGTCCCCCTAAACATATTAAACTAACAGACAGATAGAATTCTGGTCCCCCCTAAACATATTAAACTAACAGACAGATAGAATTCTGGCCACCCTAAACATATTAAACTAACAGACAGATAGAGTTCTGGTCCCCCTAAACATATTAAACTAACAGACAGATAGAATTCTGGTCCCCCTAAACATATTAAACTAACAGACAGAATTCTGGTCCCCCTAAACATATTAAACTAACAGACAGCTAGAATTCTGGTCCCCCTAAACATATTAAACTAACAGACAGCTAGAATTCTGGTCCCCCTAAACATATTAAACTAACAGACAGATAGAATTCTGGCCCCCCTAAACATATTAAACTAACATTAAACTACATATAGAAAGTCTAAAACATATTAAACTAACCCTACATATAGAAAGTCTAAAACATATTAAACTAACCTTACATATAGAAAGTCTAAAACATATTAAACTAACCCTACATATAGAAAGTCTAAAACATATTAAACTAACCCTACATATAGAAAGTCTAAAACATAAAAGAATACCCAATAAAAATATCTTCATGGAAAACATACACAAACACAAACACACACACATACACACACACAAACACATACACACACGCACGCACGCACACACACATACACACACCTCCCCCTCGTATTCTGTATGTTTTGAATGTTTACACGTATACCTTCGGTTGCTGTTTCTGTGTGGTATTTGTTGGAGGCAACATCATTTTCAAAACCGTTGTTGAAAGCATCTATAGTCTGCCCTGTGTGATATAACCAATAGGCTTTGGTATCTCAATTCAAACTCCTCACCCCACACCCCACCCCGCACTACACGATATCTTGCTATCGTTTATCAGACGATCATTGATAACACTACGACACTGTAGGATACAATCGTTGACGTGAAAACATTACCATCAACCAGTACTGTTAGGCTAATCGCCAGTCGTTTGTTGGACTAATAGCCAATCATTTGACTAATCGCCCGTCGTTTTCTCTCCCTGCAGCTAAGAGACAAGTGCTAGTCGGAGGTCCAATGGTCATTGACTCCAATAGAGACGACGTCCAGAAGGCCCTGGACTTTGCTGTGACCACCATGAACGCCCAGGAAAACTATCTCTACCTGAGGAAGGCCGTGTCCATCGCCCAAGTCACCTCTCAGGTATGGGGTCGTCCATAAATGACGTCACACTCGTAGGGGGGAGGGGGGTCCATAATTTTGTGATGGTGTGTGATGAGGGGGAGAGAGGTTGTTCAGATGGTCACACTTTTGCATTATAAAAAAGCAATGTTGACGAGTTTTAGCCGTTATTTCGCATTTTAGAAAACGGTTTTAATAAATTGTAATAGGAACTGATCAAAATACTCTATGTTGACAAGGTTCTGACAAGATTTTGGAAAAATATCGATGTTTTAAGAAAAATTTTGAGGGGGGGGGGGGGTGTAGGCTGAAGTGTGACGTCATTTTAGGGGTGGGGTTTGGCTTTTTGTGACGACGTGTGACGGAGGGGATAGGGGGAGGTAAAAATCGTCCAAAAAAGCGTGACGTCATTTATGGGTGACCCCTATGTCTTGTAGTCATGGCTTGGCTTTGTTTACTGTGTGCAATAATTCTACACGACCCCACCCCCACCCTGTAACTCACCTCAGTACCCCACACCAATTCCTCGGCTCAGTGCCCCACCTAGGTACCGCCACCGCAGTAACCCACCCAGTAACCCACCCTGGCGTGTCACATTTTAGTGAACATTTCGTATTGTGTGTCCCACCCAGCGCTACTTCCTCCTCCTTATTTGTACTGTCATGGTCCATGTATAGATGTGTGGTTGTATGGTCCAGGTATAGATATATGGTTCTGTTTATTTACAGGTTGTATCTGGAATCTCGTTCCACTTCACTGGCGTTGTGATGGCATCAACCAACTGTGACAAGTCAACCACCCACAACCTCAACGGATGTGCTGTTGCTAATGATGCAGATGTCAGTAGCTACTCTCTCCATCTCTCACTCTTTCTCCACCTCCTTGCTCTCTCACACCACATAACTCCCCACACATCCATACCTACGGACCGCTCACTGTTTATCTAAAGACTCATTTTAAGACGTTCACTTGAAATTTGTTTAGACTAGATCAACTTAGCTTTTCAGAAGCTGTGTTTATAAATTCTTGTGTGAGCTAATATACGGTTTTTACCTTATGTACTGTAACAAACATATTTTGAGTTTAAATCAACTTGTAATGTGAGTTGTCTCTCCTCACTAGACCCGCACCTGTGACTTCAACGTATGGTGGCAGTCATGGATGACTCCCGAGTACCAGCTGACCAATGTCCACTGCAATGTAAGTTTTCTTAGTGTGTGTATGTGCTGTCGGTATGTTGTTTCTAGTGTCTGTATGTTGTCCCTGTGTCTATATGTTGTCCCTAGTGTCTGTATGTTGTCCCTAGTGTCAGTATGTTGTCCCTAGTGTCTGTATGTTGTCCCTAGTGTCTGTATGTTGTCCCTAGTGTCTGTATGTTGTCCCTAGTGTCAGTATGTTGTCCCTGTGTCTGTATGTTGTCCCTAGTGTCAGTATGTTGTCCCTGTGTCTGTATGTTGTCCCTAGTGTCTGTATGTTGTCCCTAGTGTCTGTATGTTGTCCCTGTGTCTGTATGTTGTCCCTAGTGTCTGTATGTTGTCCCTAGTGTCTGTATGTTGTCCCTAGTGTCTGTATGTTGTCCCTAGTGTCTGTATGTTGTCCCTGTGTTTGTATGTTGTCCCTGTGTCTGTATGTTGTCCCTGTGTTTGTATGTTGTCCCTGTGTCTGTATGTTGTCCCTAGTGTCTGTATGTTGTCCCTAGTGTCTGTATGTTGTCCCTGTGTCTGTATGTTGTCCCTGTGTCATTATGTTGTCCCTGTGTCAGTATATTGTCCCTGTCTCAGTATATTGTCCCAGTGTCTGTATATTGTCCCTGTGTCTGTATGTTGTCCCTAATGTTGTCCTGTGTCTGTATGTTGTCCCTGTGTCTGTATGTTGTCCCTAGTGTCTGTATGTTGTCCCTGTGTCTGTATGTTGTCCCTGTGTCAGTATGTTGTCCCTAGTGTTGTCCCTAGTGTCTGTATGTTGTCTCTGTGTCTGTATGTTGTCCCTAGTGTCTGTATGTTGTCCATGTGTCTGTATGTTGTCCCATGCTAGTCCCCACCCCCCCCCCCACCAACCTACTAATGTTTACCTACGTACCATCCATGTTTTGTTTCCCCAGTAAACAGCGACTAACACGAAGCTTCGAGTGTCTTCCACTTCAACAGTTCAAGTTTTGTTACAAATAAAAACTACCTGTAAAAAACACAACAGAAGACTTTTTGTATTACTTCTTGTTAATGTAGACCACCGTGTGAAAGGTGCCGGGGGATGGTGAGTGGTGTGTGATGGTGTGTGATGGTCGGGATGGTGGGTGGTGGGTGGTGGGTCTGTTGAGTGAAAAAAAAAAGAAAAGTTTCCCTTTCAAACCTGACGGTCTATGGGGCAAGTGAAGTAGAGTTCACTTGTTTCTGTAACCTTGGCATATGAAGAGATAGTGTGGTCAACACTATGCCCAGCCGCCTTTACTTTCCCTAACCTGAGTTAGGTACCCATCAGAGTTGAGTGGACTCAGGGACGGTCTACTGACTTGAACCTGGACTTATGGGTTAGCATTCCAGCTCTCTACCGCTAACCACCTCGTCCGTGGGTCTGTTGGGAGATGTCTTTATATTTATCTAAAAATCTGTGTATATTTATCTCACTAGCTTTTTAAATATGGGCACATACATTGGTACCTCGAGATACGAGTTGAATTCGGTCCGCATCAACTTTTGCCACGGGTTTTTAACAAAAAAAGAGTAAATATACATGACAAATACTGTTTCATAACACGAAATAGGATAATGCAAAGAAATAAAATGGTTACATAAATTGTAAAAAAAAAAGTGAAGCACCTTTCCGAACCTGGCGGTCTTATTGGGGACAGGTGAATTAGAGTTCAACTGTTTCAGAGACCCCGGCACATGAAGGGATAGCACTCTGCTCCGCCGCTTTACTTTAAAACTGGAGTCAGGTACCCATCCGAGCTGGGTGCTAAGTTCTTTATTTGTAAGGGAGAAAAACGAAACATCTGTTGACAGGTCTATTTTTACGGCCTGCTTGTGAACGTGGGGAAAGTGAGGGAGGCTAACATCATAGAATAGAAGTAAACCGGGAGTGATCTCCCCTAAACTTTCTCGAATTTTCTTATATAAAACAACAGGGGATGGCAACTCGGGATATAGATATGATTTTTAATCCATTTTAAATACTTAAACTTTTTAAAATAAAATCTCGTAGAAAAAAAGGATTGCACACCAAATGAACGCCAAACAAAATGTGCATAATAGCGCGGAATATTATTAGTACTTTATAAATTCACACGCGTTTTTTTGAGAAATCTGAAATAGCGTAAATTAATATTTCCGGTCAACGGAGATTACTCAAAATTTAACAGAAGGTAGAGAATTAGATCTCTTACTTACATGTGAAATTTCATTTATCGATCAAGTTATAGGCTTTTGAAAAATTCAAAGTAGAAAAAGGTCCACTTCCGGTTATCGGAAATCGCTCAAAAATTGATAAGGATCTACGATTTTTATATAATACTTATTTATGAAATTTCAACTGCCTAGCTGTAACTAATCATAACTTTATGCGGAAAAAATACAACAATCTTTCTTTAAAAAAATAATTAGCAATATAAACTAACTACTCCGAACTAACTATAACAAAAAATTATTTTAACTACCAAGTTACCTGTTACCAACTGCCCTCCCACTCCCCCGCTCACACATTTATTAATACACTAAACTGCTCAAGCTATTGGCTTGGTTTTAAATACAACCACAAGTGACAAACTCGGCTAAATAGATCTATAAAAAATAATTGTGATATAAATTGGCATCACACATGCACGGCACACAGACAAGTAACCAAGATAAAATCAACACCCACTAACATTGACATGTCCGCAAAAGTTTCGTAAGTAAAGAGTTAAGACATTAACTTAAGCAGCCGTCAAAGGGTTAATGAACGAATAATACTAACAGTAATTTCAGCCATTGCATCAGCCAGGCAATATCGATTCAAGTCAAGGTGCCATGGAATAATGGGATGTGTCATCACATCATGGGATGTTATTAAATGATTTCATCACATCATGGGATGTCCTCACATCATGGGATGTTATTAAATCATGGGATGTAAGCACATCATGGGATGTCATTAAATGATTTCATCACATCATGGGATGTCATTAAATGATTTCATCACATCATGGGATGTCATTAAAGCATGGGATGTTATTAAATCATGGGAAGTTTTTAAATCAAAGTATGTCATCAAATAATGTCATAAAGTTCAAATGATATTTTACCACAAAGTCATCAAATGATGTTATGCGATAAACTGATGTCATCAAATGATGTTAGCCATAAAGTGATGTCATCAAATGATGTTAGCCTTCAAATCAACTGATGTCCACCACGTGACTTCATCAGATCGAGTTGAACTTGAAATGAATGACCAGCACATGTCCAACAACAGATGTGGAGAGTAAATGACGTCATCTTTTGCCTGAACTACTTCTGTAATCTAAGAAACTACATGTGGGCTGGGGATTAATCATTAGATCACAACTGGTTTAAAGCGTTAAATGTATAATGAGGACAGTCGGGTTAGTTTGGTGATTAGATACATCACTGCTACCATCTCAAACAATGAAATCACCATCTCAAAAATAAAATTACCATCACAAATCCAAATGGAATTCAACCAATCAATGGCCAGCCATACCAAAGATGGGACTGGATTAAGTCAGTGTTAGCTATACAGCTGTGGGAAACAGCTAAAGCTGCTCAACAAAGTTGGATTAGCTGTTAGACAAATGACCTTTAGAAATCCTAGACAAATGACCTTTCTAAATCCCAGACAAATGACCTATGTAAGTCCCAGACATGTGTGAATGTAATCCTGCAGCACTAAATACAACGTCACAATGAAGGTATTACAAAAGTTGGTAGGAAACACACAGGGTGCATCTGTTGGGATTAAGTGATCGATGAGCATGTTTGATGGAAGATTATCACACACAGGTAATGGGAGTCAGGTGGGACAAGAGAGTCACTGAGAGATTGTGGGTTATAAACATGTGTGGTTTTTTTTTTTAAATTATCGGGTGTTTAGGTTAAGTGTTCGATTTTTCTTGAACATATGTTTTAATCTTTCTTTTACACTCACGGAGACACACACGCACACTAATATATTCACATATATATAGCATCACACACACACACACACACACACATATATATATATATATATATATATATATATATATATATATATATATATATATATATATATATATATATATATATATATATATATATATATATATATATATATATATATATATATATATATATATATATAGCATCACACACACACACACATATATATATATGTATATATATATATATATATATATATATATATATATATATATATATATATATATATATATATATATATATATATATATATATAAGACCTTCTATGACCTATTATAAGAGATGAAATAATCAATTGAACATGCAATCAAAGAATTTTTTGCTGAGTTAAGATATTTTTCTTTTAAAGGTTGTTAACATATACACGTACCGGTTCGTACACGTACACGCACACGTACACGTACACGTACACGTACACGTTGTAAGGTTTTGGCCGTAAATGGAATGATAGTAGCTTCTCAAAGAGACACAGTGATTCCTTACACTTTGTTGTGATTTCCTTGGTTTTCAGATTCAGTTCCAGTATTTATGATAGTCACCTCCCGTACTTTTTATAGTGGCCTCCCACAGTTTATAGTTATCTCCCTTATATCTTCCAGTGACCTCCCTTATATGTTCCAGTGACCTCCCTTACCTCTGAAAACAATCCCCCAACCCCACACTCTCTGTTACATTTTCAGTTACAACCCACATACAGTAACATCAGCTGCCCGCAGTCATGTATGCAGTCATGTATGCAGTCATGTATATCTTCCTGTCCATCATATCGCTGGTGGTACCTGTCTCTACAGTGTCTGCACCTGGTGACCATTTATCACTTTTAGATACATTTTTTACGATTTTATAAAACATTTACAAATTAATTTAAAAACAACAAAAACAAAACAAAAACACAACAATTAAAACTAGACAAGCAGAGCCATCATGCCATGACTGACTAACGTAGACTTTGTTTATGTAAATAAATCACCGGAGGTAAATTGTTTTGTGAGTGCTGGAAGCTGAATGACCAAGTTTTTTTTTTTTTGTGATTTTAGAAAACGATGAAGTGCCCTTCGACTGAATGACCAAGTTTTTTTGTTATTTAGAACACGATGAAGTGCCCTTCGACTGAATGACCAAGTTTTTTGTTATTTAGAAAACGATGAAGTGGCCTTCGACTGAATGACCAAGTTTTTTGTTATTTAGAAAACGATGAAGTGCCCTTCGACTGAATGACCAAGTTTTTTGTTATTTAGAAAACGATGAAGTGGCCTTCGACTGAATGACCAAGTTTTTTTTTTGTTATTTAGAAAACGATGAAGTGCCCTTCGACTGAATGACCAAGTTTTTTTTTTTGTTATTTAGAAAACGATGAAGTGCCCTTCGACTGAATGACCAAGTTTTTTTGTTATTTAGAACACGATGAAGTGCCCTTCGACTGAATGACCAAGTTTTTTGTTATTTAGAAAACGATGAAGTGGCCTTCGACTGAATGACCAAGTTTTTTGTTATTTAGAAAACGATGAAGTGCCCTTCGACTGAATGACCAAGTTTTTTGTTATTTAGAAAACGATGAAGTGGCCTTCGACTGAATGACCAAGTTTTTTGTTATTTAGAAAACGATGAAGTGCCCTTCGACTGAATGACCAAGTTTTTTGTTATTTAGAAAACAATGAAGTGCCCTTCGACTGAATGACCAAGTTTTTTGTTATTTAGAAAACGATGAAGTGCCCTTCGACTGAGTGACCAAGTTTTTTGTTATTTAGAAAACGATGAAGTGCCCTTCGACTGAATGACCAAGTTTTTTGCTATTTAGAAAACGATGAAGTGCCCTTCGACTGAATGACCAAGTTTTTTGCTATTTAGAAAACGATGAAGTGCCCTTCGACTGAGTGACCAAGTTTTTTGTTATTTAGAAAACGATGAAGTGCCCTTCAACTGAATGACCAAGTTTTTTGCTATTTAGAAAACGATGAAGTGCCCTTCGACTGAATGACCAAGTTTTTTGCTATTTAGAAAACGATGAAGTGCCCTTCGACTGAATGACCAAGTTTTTTGCTATTTAGAAAACGATGAAGTGCCCTTCGACTGAATGACCAAGTTTTTTGCTATTTAGAAAACGATGAAGTGCCCTTCGACCGAATGACCAAGTTTTTTGCTATTTAGAAAACGATGAAGTGCCGTTTGACCAAACTGACCCCACGGTACAAGATGCTATCAAGTTTGCAGCGAAAATATTCAACGACGGTTCAACTGAAGTTTATCATGCACTTGTTAAGTCCATTGATCGGGTCACTCGTCAGGTCTGTGGGATTTTTCACAAGTTTTTTTTTAAACTTTTATTTAGCTCACGTTCAGTGCATTTATAGATTATTGTTATAAAGTTATTCACAGGTTTTACTTTTACCTCACCAATAGGATTAAATAATTCACCAGAGAACATTTGAGTACTGTAGTCTCTAAACAATAAAATCAATCAACTGTTTAATTCCCATTCAATGAGACGTTTATTTCCTCCATGTTATGACAGGGTCCAACATTTGTTTAGGCAATAAAGGTTTCCAAACCAACATTTCGAGATGTTTTTGTTTTTTTCAATGACATTTGATGCGATATTTTTAAATGCAATTGGACACAAGTAACATTTAGAAGCTTAGTCTAGCCATAATATGTAAGGTTGAGAATCTAGTCCTGCCCCCCCCCCCCCCCCACACACACACTTCACCTTGTACGAGATGATAACGGCGTCATCTTCCGGTTAATCGGTGTAACCATGGCAACTACGACGTGTCGCAAGACCCGAAGTTTTGACCCAAAATCCTGTCCTGTCGCTGCCAAACCTACGGTACGTATACTTGTCTTTATTTGTACTTTATATATGTATATTTATATATATATATGTGTATATATATATATATATATAGCCTATATATATATAGCCTATATATATATAGCCTATATATATATAGCCTATATATATATATATATATATATATATATATATATATATATATATATATATATATATATATATATATATATTTATTTATTTATTTATTGTTTATTTTTTCATATATATATATATAGGGTAGGGGTGTAAAGGTAGTTATAACCCACCCCCATGGACCTTCAACTATAAAGTTAAGTTACAAAGATTGTGCAACGGGCTACCTAATTTTTTTTCTCGTAATTGTTTGACATAGACACACATATAGCTAAAGACATAGACACAGACACAGATATCAGATACACACACACACACAGAGATCCAGAGTGTGCACACGTGTGTGCTTTTTGTTAAAAGATATTAACATGCGATATATTGGCTTTGTTTGAATAGAGACAACCTATTAATGTACTTTGTTTCAGCAAACCTTCGGTGACTTTCAAGTACGGATAACGGGAACTGGGAAAGAAATGTTACAACATCATTGCGTAAGAGTCTTGTGATTGGTTACCAGAAACATCGCATAGAATAGTGAAAGTTATAAGTCGTTTTGTTCATTCTTTCATAGTTTTCCATTTAGTGCCCTGCTACTGCTCATACACTAATAACTTCACCATGTATATATATATATATATATATATATATATATATATATATATATATATATATATATATATATATATATATATATGTATATATATGTATATGTATATGTATATATATATATATACATATACATATAATGCTTATTTCAGGTTCCTCTGTGCGGGTGATATGGTTTTTTAAAAAGTATTGTTTACACTTTATTCGGTCAGCGGACATTTTGTACCCAAATAAATTCAATCTAAAGCTTTAAAATCGTTGAATTACTCTGTGTTTTATACTACCATTAGGTTGCGTTTAAGTTGGGGCTAACATGAATGTAAACAGAGAAATCACAAGTGTAGGAGGTTGGTGATTGTGGTCTGTGTGGTTCGAGTTGAACGTGTCACTCACAAGCTTACACAAGCTGTATTGAGATGTAGTTTACTAATATAAATGACAACCCCTCACAGAACAGAATAAAAGCCCTCCAACCATTTCATTAACACTACAGGGGTTTATCAAGATGATCCCTGCATAATCAGGATCTTAAGCTGAACCCTCAATTAATGGGATCTTAAGTGCCACAAGATTAACGGGTTTTAAAGTGGACCCCAACAATAATGGGATCTTAACTGGAACCCTACATTAATGGAATCCTAAGCGGACCCCTACATTAATAGAATCCTAAGCTGACCCCTACATAAATGTGATCTTAAGTGGATCTTCTGCATTAACAGGACCCTAAGATGGCCTGTATTAGGATTACTGTAATCTTACAAAGACTCCTAAAGAAATTCAAATTGCTACCATATTACAAAGAACTTAAAATGAACCCCATATTATATACATCTTATAATGACTCCCATATTACAGAGACCTTATAATTGCTCTCATATAATATACATCTTATAATGACTCCCGTCTCCCATATTACAGCTCTGAAGATATCCCCCAATTTCCCCCGATGTAACTGGGAGCGATCGCTGTATTGCTGGTAAAAAAGAAGTTTAAATCACTTGAAGCTGTAACCTCAAAGTTCAGTATATTTTATTGTACCTTTAAAAAGTCATACTTTGTACCTTTAAAAAGTCATACTTTGTACCTTTAAAAAGTCATACTTTGTACCTTTAAAAAGTCATACTTTGTACCTTTAAAAAGTCATACTTTGTACCTTTAAAAAGTCACACTTTGTACTTTTAAAAAGTCATACTTTGTACCTTTAAAAAGTCATACTTTGTACCTTTAAAAAGTCATACTTTGTACCTTTAAAAAGTCATACTTTGTACCTTTAAAAAGTCATACTTTGTACCTTTAAAAAGTCATACTTTGTACCTTTAAAAAGTCATACTTTGTACCTTTAAAAAGTCATACTTTGTACCTTTAAAAAGTCATACTTTGTACCTTTAAAAAGTCATACTTTGTACCTTTAAAAAGTCATACTTTGTACCTTTAAAAAGTCATACTTTGTACCTTTAAAAAGTCATACTTTGTACCTTTAAAAAGTCATACTTTTGGTGAGGGTGGGAGATTTTGTGATCGAGGGAGGGGAGTTGGGCGTTTTTCATTTTGAAAAGATTATTTCAAAACTGTTTGTAAGATATATGTGTGTGCCGGTGTTTGTGTGTCTGTGTGTGTCTCTGTGTGTGTGTGTGTGTGTGTCTGTGTTGTGTGTCTGTGTGTGTCTGTGTGTGATATGTGTCTCTATGTGTCTGTATGTGTGTGTCAGTGTGTCTGTGTCTGTATGTGTGTGTCAGTGTGTGTCAGTGTGTATCTGTGTGTGTATAAAACTGTCTTCGTGTACAAAGCCAGCACGCCATGTTATTATTGAACCTAAACAATGTTTGCTGCATACATACATCAACATCCGACACGTCACGAGTTAATCAAATCAGCAGTTTGGCCCTCAGATGAAGAGGTTAGCCTAATCCCTTAGAAATTAAACTTAACCCAGCTAGGTGACAGAAAAGTCAGAGAATTGGCTAAGCCTGATCTGATCGATTTGTTGTGTTGACACCCAGTAACTTGACCATAATACAGGTGTGGTTCTCTCTCGTAACACTGGTCGATTGGTAATCAAAGTTTGTGTTTGAAAGCCTAAATTTTACGCCCTGCTGTAAAGTAATGGAAATTGTAAAAATGTGCTATAAAATAATGGAAATTGTAAAAATGTGAGGAAAATTGTAAAAATGTGCTGTAAAGTAATGGAAATTTTTAAAATGGAGAATTGCTAACAAATTATCTTAAAAAAATAAAATCACGAATAAGGCTATTACAGAACTATTCCTAGGGGGCCACCTAGATTTTTTTCATGGTGGCCACGGGATTGTGCTCTGGTGGCCCCGGGATTATGTTCTAGTGGCCCCGGGTTTGTGCTCGAGTGGCCCCAGGATTGTGCTCTGGTGGCCCCCCGGGATTGTGCTCTGGTGGCCCCCCCGGGATTGTGCTCTGGTGGCCCCAGGATTGTGCTCTGGTGGCCCCGGGATTGTGCTCTGGTGGCCCCCCCCCCCAGGATTGTGCTCTGGTGGCCCTGGGATTGTGCTCTGGTGCCCCCCCCCCCCGGGATTGTGCTCTGGTGGCCCCCCCGGGATTGTGCTCTGGTGGCCCCAGGATTGTGCTCTGGTGGCCCCGGGATTGTGCTCTGGTGGCCCCCCCCCCCCAGGATTGTGCTCTGGTGGCCCTGGGATTGTGCTCTGGTGCCCCCCCCCCGGGATTGTGCTCTGGTGGCCCCAGGATTGTGCTCTGGTGGCCCTGGGATTGTGCTCTGGTGGCCCTGGGATTGTGCTCTGGTGGCCCCAGGATTGTGCTCTGGTGGCCCCGGGATTGTACTCGAGTGGCCCCCAGCGATTGTTCCTGGCACACCGCGGGCCAGTCTACATATGGCAGTAATGAGATTTTTTAAAATTGTAAATCAATTTGTTTGTTTATTCAGAGTATGGGCCACTTCATTAACCCCTTCAATATCAGAAGTCATCTTATCTATACTTATAACACCTAGATCTAGATAATTTAGTTGAATGGTGTCCCGAGTTCACCGATCTCATGACAGATTGAACTGTTCCACATAGAGCACAAAAACATTTCAAACCTTTTTATGTGCAAGCCGTGAGCACATTTGGTGTCTGGACGTGTGTTTGTTGTGTGGACGTGTGTGGTAAACATTGTGGGAACCTCACACAAACTTACATGACGTCACAAAAAGTCTAAAATAGACAACGTGGGGTAAGACAACTGCTCACTAGCACAAAGCCCAAAAGCCGGTTCGGTACGTCACTTTTACTCACCATTCATCTAACATTTTGCTTGTCTATATATTTAAAATAATAAAGCGGGAGTGATCTCCCTTAAAATTTCTCGAATATTCTTATATAACACTACGAGGAGTGCAACTCGGGATATAGACATGATTTTAAATCAGTTTTTAATTACGTAAACTTTTTAAAATAGAATAATATCTCGTAGAAAAAAGAATAGCGCACCAAGTAAACAGCAAACAATGTGGTTATAATAGAATATTAGTACTTTATAAATTCAAATGCGTTTTTTTAGAAATCGAAAAGAGCGTCAAGTATTACTTCCGATCAGCGGAAATTACTCAAAATTTGATAAAGGGCAGAGATTTAGATCTTTTACATATATGTGAAATTTCGTTTATCTACCTGAAACAATACTCAAGTTATTGGTTTTTGAAAAACCAAAAGTAGAATAAGTTACACTTCCGGTTACCGTAAATCGCTCAAAAACTATGTTTTTCCGACTCGGGGAGGTGTAAAACGTCGAGATTTGCGAACGTCTCGATGTTGATTTTTTTCACATTTACAATACTTCCTGTATACTTTGTATACGAGAAAGTAGACAGGGAGGTGTATTTCTAATGCAAGAACTGGACATTGGCCAAGG